TAAAAGACATAATTCAATATTTTTTACCATAGAAAAGGAAAAGGAATATAAAATCTCTTTCTTGGACATTAATATACAGAAAGTAAATAGTTCATTAAGTACTTCCATTTTTTATAAGTAAACGTGTTCAGGCTTTTATACCTCCTTTTGCATTTTCATCTCCTTTTCACACAAGGTAAATTTAACTAAATGTTTAATTGATAGAACATTTAAAAACTTGGTTAATATAAATAGAGGTGTGCTGAACCATTAAATGCCAGCTCCTTGATTTTGGGTACTTGGTGGTAAAAACTGGGTCCGAGACCAGGGTACCCGACACGAGTCCGTTAAAAAAGTAAGAATAAAAAAAATTTAATCAAATAAAAAATAATTTAGACAACATGTTTTGCTGTATTTCATTTTATCTTCTTTTATGATTTTTTGTTTGTAGCAATTGAAAAATGTTATTATCGTTCAAAATAATTAAAAAGTAGACAATCAAATAACTTTTCCAAATAATTGATTAACTACTTCATATAAACAGAATTTAGATTTTTAAAAAAAGGCTAAAAAATAGTTAAAACCCCCTAAAACTGTGCAATATTCCTTTGCTTTTTAGCAACCATGGCGCAGTGGTAGGTTACTTGTCTCAGAAACAAAAGAGAGCATGCCCCCTCTCGCTTCTAAGGTAGTGTGTCCCCCACTTTGAAATCCATATTGTCGGCCCTGCAAAAAAAATTTCTCATTTGACTTCCCAAACTTTATGGGAAAGAGTTTCAAGACCAAGGCCTACGCAAAGATTGTCAAGACCAAAGACTTAAATTTTTGCCTTACGTTAAGACCAATTATTAACAAAACCGTAGGTAGCAAGTGTTGAGAAATTAGATCAAAGTTATGCGCAAAATTCAACGAAGTCAATAAGAAAATATACTTGTAGATATATACGAAAGCTGAAAATAAAAATACATAAAAATAAAGAATTAAAACTTTTAATTCTTTAAATTTATATATTTTATGAAGGCTAAGGCCAAAAATTTCAAGGCCAAGATCAAGGCCAAGGCCAAAAGTTTCAAGGCAAAAACTGAAGATGATTAGAAATTGATAATGATTGATGATTAGAAATCATAATGTGTAATATTTTATTTGTTAAAAAGATGGTTTTTATTAATAAGTGAAAAAACTTTGTTTTATTTCTCATATTTTTACCAATTTTGCAATAAAAACAACAAAAATTTAACTTGAGTCTAAAGTTTGCCTAAGTTTAAGGTTTCTTGGTTTAGCGCTAATGCCCTTAAAAGGCTAAATTAAAAAGGGTCTGGGTCCATATATGGCATACAGTGGAGGTAAAAACTTTCTGAATTTTAAATGTAAATTTCTTAGTGGGAATAGGTGATAGGAGAAGAGACAGTATTGTTCACTTCAATAACTATACACATACTTATTGATAAAAAGTAGTTCTATATAGATATGCCTATAAGGTAAGCATTCCCAGGAATTGTCCGGGCGCCAGTATTTTATTTTAGAAAATTCGGTCACTGCCTGTTTGTGTACTGTTTTTATGTTTGTTTCTTTAGAGTAGTTGTTATTTTCAGTAACAAATAAGGCAAAGCAAAATAAAACAAACAGATTTGAATCCACATTAAAAATAATGATTTTCCTGTATTTTATTTGTTTCTTTTTAAAGAAAAGCAAAAATATAAATAGCTATCTGTTTGTAAAATATATTTGTACAATTTTAATGTAACAAGTATAAATTGTCCCTATATGAAAACATCAATGTAATGCATGCATACATTTTTGCGTATAACTTTTTTTATTATATAATTATATTTATTTGTCTCAAGTATATGCACGTTTAGCTTTCTTGGATAAGGCGTTTACATCATACACGGAATGTTCCTGGTTCAAATTCAACCTTTCCTTAAACTTTTTTTGCTTTTCTTTCCCCATCCCTTTTGGTCTATTACATTATTGGTGAAATATACAATTATTATTAATAATTGCATAACAATTATTAATAATAATTGTACATTATTGGTGAAATAAACAATTATTATTAATAATTGCATAACAATTAATAATAATTACTCACCAATAACATAGTAGACCAAAAGGGAGGGATAGGTGAAGTCGAGTCATCAGCAAAAAGAGCTACTTTAGATGTAAGGTTGTCAGGAAGATCATTAATGTAGATAAAAAACAAAACAGGATTAGAGATAGAACCTTGAGGTACCCCAGAAGTTACTGGAAATAGAGAAGTGTGTTGGCCTTTGAGGATGACTTGAATGAAGCAGTTAGAAAGAAACAATTTGAGAATCTCAAAAATTTTCCTAGGCATACCATATATAACAAACTTATGGAGAAGACCACCATGACAAACTATGCCAAAAGCTTTAGATATGTCTATTTAGATATACCTAATGCATGATTGAAAACTGTATTGATTGCCTGACAGTATGTTATTTGACTCAAGATGAGATGTGAGAAATTTGTTGATCAAACACTCAAAGACCATGCTAATAACAGAAAGAAAACTGATCAGACAATAATTTGAAGGGTCAGAATTTTCACTGGAGTTCTTGAAAACTGGAACAACAGAAATCACTTTCCAGTAGGCAAGAAAATAAGACTCAGTCAATCACTTTAAATAGTTTAGAGAGAACTAATGAGAATTCTGGACAACAATTTTGTATGATTGTGACAGGAATGTTGTCTGGACCACAAGTCATAGAAGAGTTTAATTGAGATATAAATTTAGCAAAAAAAGCTGAAGTGATTTGAATGTCTAACAATTGGTTAACTTGTTTAATTGAAATGGAAGGAAGGGAATGGCCATAAGATTCATAGCCCCGCAATTAGGATTTCTGAAATAGGGTTTCCAATTTTATGAATCCTTGGTTTTTACTTTGTAAAACCCAAAGCGTGCATATTTATATATTATATATTTATTTTTTTAGCATAAAATCATTTTCATATTCATTTCTAATTCCAATACTTTTTCTTCCTGTCAAACTTAACACAACACACTTAATATTATTAAATTAGTAGTGTGTAAAGGGGGCATTCATAAAGTACGTACGCAGTAAAATCACTGATTTAGGACTTCCCTCTCCCCTTGTACAAACCTGTACGCTTTTGAAGACCTCCCTCCCTCCCTTCCTCTGCATACATATGCATTATTTTTTTTTTCAAAATTAACTTGATTTTTTTTTTTCTCTCATTATTTATAAAGAATTAAAAAAAAAATTGTAACTGAAGTCAGAAAAAAAAAACAATTCTGATTTGTTACATACGTAAAATTCAATGTTTTTTTTTAAAAAAAAAAATTCATGTTTAGGATAATCATACTGCGTACGTAATCACTGTCTTTAACACCTCCTCCCCCGTTGTATGCATTCATACGCTTTTGGGAAACCCCTCCCCCCATACTTGCATACGTACTTTATGGATGGCCTCAAAGCAGTAACAAGAAAATTTAATTTTTTTAACAAATTAAAAAGGGGTTTCCGGGTACCATGGAACCCCCCTAATTGCGCTACTGATGCCAGAGTCAAATTTTAAATGTTTTATGCAAATAGACTTGCCTTATCCTAGGGAGAAGTAATAAGATCAGCCCCATAAATAAAAGATGAAATTTTAGACCTACCTTTGTTATTAACATTGTTGGAGATTTTCCAAAAGTCTTTAGAGCCTAACTTCTGAGATAAGATACAAGACGTGAACTAAGAATAATGGAGCTTCACATCACACAGCACCTTTATACGTCGATTTCTTGCAATAATAAATAGCTGTTTGTTCTCAAGAGAGTTGGTTTTTAAAAAAAGATGAAAAAATGATTACAATTAGATAAAGCAGCTGCTCAAAAAGATGAAATTCATGGAGTAGAATGAGGCTGGACTTGGAACAGACAGGAAGGAATGAAAGCAACCATTCTTGCCTGAATCCAGAAGGTTATGTAGGAGGCGCATTTTTCAGCTGAGAGAGAAAAGACATCAGCCCACGGATAGTCACAAAGAAAATCATATAAAGAATCCCAGTCAACTTTAGGGTAGTGGTAAGTAGTGCGATAACAGGGTGAGTCCGAAAAGTAAGTACAAGATAAAGGATTTAAAGTGATCATTTCATGATCAGAACTACCTTAGAGAGAAAAAGGAAATATTGAATACAAGCTAGGATCAGAGACAAGACATAAATCAAGGAGTGAAGGTAAATGATTTAAGTTAACTGAAAAACAAGTCATAAAGTTAAGTATCTGAGCAAGAGATTGAAAAATGCAGAAGTTTTAGGCTTTAGTGCCAGCAGGGTCAGTGGCCAAGCCAATCATTGTGATGATATTGGCAGAGAGGTAAAGAGAGAGGGCATGATCAATTTGATCAGAAACCACATCTAAAAAAGTGTAGTCTTGTGAAGAAGGAGAACAACAAAGAACAAAAAGAAAGGTGATAGAGTGAGTAGATAAGCAGAAGCAAATAAAAGAATGGTCAAAGAATTCGAATCTGAATTCATGACAAATAGGTGAATTGATGCATATGTAAAACCCCAAGCCAAGCATGTGACTATAGAAGACTTTGCGAACCAATATATATAATATACAACCTTCCTAATATAATCTTGTCATTAAAGCTAGCCAAATTTATTTTGAAAACCGCTTGGTACTAAAAATGTAATACTATTAGGGTTATACTATGAAAATAATTTGGGCAGCAGAACCCCCTGTGCCGGCGAAGCCGCATGGAGATTTTGCAGAAACATTGCTGCATGTAGGCATTTTTTTGCGAAAAAAACAAACAAACAATATTTGCTGTAAAAAGAAAAAAGGAAAAAAAAAAAAGTTCTTCAATTTCTAAATTTGGGTGGCAACCATATATTGTCGGCACTGTCGAAAATAGTCTAGATTAGCCCCTGACTATACTCCCTTTTCATTAAATTAAGTGTTTTCTGCACAGCCTATAGTATAATTAGTTTAGTTTTAAAAAAATAATTAGTTTAGTTCATAAAAATACAACAAAAGAGATACATACATATACTTTTACACCATAATTTTGCGGAAGTTCATCACAAGAAATGTTTGGTACTTCAATTTGTAAATTTTCAAAATCCATTCTATTATTATTATTTTTACTTGTGACTAAAACATAAAAAAATTATTTTGTCTGTAACAAAATTTAAAAATAAAAAAAACAAAATTTATTTTGATTTAAATCATTATAACAATAAGCCTTTAATGCAAACAAAAACTATAAATATAATATATATAAAACTATAAAAAAAAAAAATAATATATATGTTTTAAATAAATATATATCTTTTAAATATAAACATTATTAATAATTAGTGGTAGTGGTTTAGTGGTACTTGCTTCATAAGCAAGAAGTTCCAACTTTAATCCCCACCACATTTCTGGTAATACTGCACTTAACTTGTTTCTCCACGCAGCAGCCTTATTTGTCAAGGTTTATGTTTTGGACTTATAGAGTTGAGAAAGTAACCACAACTAAAGTCAACTCCTAGACTCTAGCAGTCTCTACCTTGGGGAGGTAAATTAACATTTATAAAAATTATATAAAATTAATGAAACTTAAATGTACAAAAACATATAATATTTGAATATTCTGCTCATTATATTGGAACAGATTTTAACAAATTTTAAAATGTATTCTACAAAATAGAATGTTCAATTTTCTTAAAAGAACAGAGCAATTATAAATTATTAATTTAAAAAATTTATTTATATATATATATATATATATATATATATATATATATATATATATATATATATATATATATATATATATATATATAGATAGATAGATAGATATATATATATATATATATATATATATATATATATATATATATATATATATATATATATATATATATATATATATATATATATATAATAGGCCCCTGCAAATTGCCATTTTTAGTTTTGAATCAAATCTCGAATCGAAGCGGGTCTTGATTCGTGAATCGTATCACAAATCAAATCAGCAGTATAAGGAAATCCAAGTTTAAGCTTCTTTTTTTTTTTTTAAAAAAAAAGAAGACTATTTTTTCAGCGGTTGTTTGGAAGCAGTATTACAATTACCTTCGATAACAATTACTTTATTCTGGCTAAGATAAATAAAAATATTTTGATAGCATCTTAACATTGGATATCTAAAAAAACAACAACACTCACAAAATGAATAGTGATTCAAAAAACTTAAATCATTTTTTTCTAATCGAATTTTGAATCAAAGTGAAACTTGATTCGCGAATCAAAGCAACACTTGATTCGCAAATCGAAGCGATTTGCAAGGCCCTAATATATATATATTTTTTTTATTAAGTTATTTTTGGGTTTATTTTGTTTGAATGATTCCATTTGATTTAAACATGAAAGATTTATCCAATGTAATTTAAAACTTAAATATGCTTTAAAAAGATAACTAACATCATAAAAATACTAAAAAATCTAAGTAAAGTTTATAGATAATAAGTTTATATGGCCTTATTCATTTTTTAAATAAAACTTACAAGTCTTTTCTTATTTAACTTAAACTTACAAATAGTGTAATTATTAGGTATAATTTCAGAGCCATTTATTTAGTACCAATTTATTGTTACTTTCGACTAGTGACAGCTGGCTAAATCAGGCCAAAATCTTGCAGGAACATTATGTGAATTTAAAAAAGGTAAAATACATTTTTCCAGGCACTCCTTCTTGTAGAGTTTAACATTAAAAATGGCTTACATTTTTTTACCACAACTAAAAGTTGCTTCCCATATTGTACGCTTCTTGCCAAACTTATCCAGCTTCCTATGTTTATATTTATTGCTGACAGCACCACACATAATGCCAGCATAAAATCTGTGACAAGGTATTTGTCTAAAGTCTAATTTGACATAAGTTTCATTATCAAGAATCAGGCAGCCATCGAACTTTGGCAGAATGTTGTCATACAGTTTTTTGTATGGTTTGGATATTTATCTTACGATAAGAGTTCTTTTGTATATTTTATGCAAGTGTGATTGACAAATTTTCATAGCCAACATTTTATTCTTCAACCCTTCCTTTCTTCCAGATCCTGACTTGCGATTGATGGATAAAAATTCAATGTAACGTTTGAGAACCTGAGAAACAGTTGACTGACTGACTTTGGCTAGTTTTAGTTAGTCCAGTATTTTCTAATTAATTTTTTTGACATCATTTTTTAATAACTTTAAAAATCTTTAATAAATCTTTCAGGAAAAAGTTTGTGTATTTGTGAAAAAAAGTAGTACTAAGCTTTATATTTAAAAAATTTTCTTTTTTGCATCATATGTTGTTAATTTAAAGTTCAAAGGAAGAGTCAATTTTTTTGTGGCTATGCTTTAGTAAGTATTTATCCTTACTATTGTGCAGATAAAAATGGGTAATTTGTTCATTAATCATCTGGCTGAAGAATCTGCCAAAATAATTTAATAGTCAATGGGAGACAAGTAAAAACATTTAATCTTATACATGTCAATGTTACCTACATGCAAAATTAATCAAGCCTAACCTTAGTTAGATATATTTATCAATATAAAGTTAAAGTTTCATACAATCACAATCATCAGATGTTATTAGTTAGTTACTAGAAGGTAAGGTATATTTTTTACCTAAACACTTTTTTCTTAAATAAAATTTATATATTTATACTTCATAACAATTTAAAAACTATATATTTCTAAATTCAAAATATATTCTAGTAAATTGTTTTAACTTTTAAATAAATATAAACATTTTGACCTTTGAACATAACTTATTTTTGTAATGTAAAAGATTTTATATTACACAAAGTAATAGAAACAAGTAAAGTAAAAAATATCAACAAATCAAAATAAAATAAATTAAAAAATAAAGTGTTAAAACATTTATTTAAAAAAAAAAAAAATTAAATAAAAAAAACAAAAACTATTAACTCAAGAAAATACTACTTGACATAAAGTAAAAAGATTTTTCATTTTTCATCCCAAAATATCTAAAAACTATTATACAAATCGATGCATCAATAAACTATATAACTAAATGAATAAAAGAGAAAACTTTTCAGTGTTCTATATTTTTCTTTTTTTAAAAAATTTTTAGAACAAATGGTCTTAAAAACTGTTGAAAGTATTCCAAAATGCCAACCATAATTTGTTATTTCTTGATACGTAATCATGCCAACAATACCATGCTAACTTACATATATACATATATATATATATATATATATATATATATATATATATATATATATATATATATATATATATATATATATATATATATATATATATATATATATATATATATATATATATATATATATATATATATATATATATCAAGGCCTTAATTTAATGGTTGGACATCACTGCCCCTCGAAACATTCCTGAGACCCGCTAAAGGAGGGCAACAAACCATTGTTGATTTTGTCAGTAAAAATGAACAATGGTTAGTTGCCCCCATAAATCAGATCTCAAAATCCGTCCAGGGGTGGCAATGTCCGACCGATAAATTGAGCCCTGATATATATATATGTGTGTGTGTGTGTGTGTGTGTGTGTGTGTGTGTGTGTGTGTGTGTGTGTGTGTGTGTGTGTGAGTGTGTGTGTGTGTGTGTGTGTGTGTGTGTATACAAAAACACCTATCACTTCTGTTATAACCTGTTATCTCTTAAAAATACATATATATAAAATAAGATTTAACGTCGCTTGTTACTATTGAACTTTGAGGAAGCACTTTTTGAATTAATTGTGTGTTTAGATTTGGCATAAACTTCTTTTTTACTTTTTTCCCTCTCTTTTTTTTCCATAATAATTTTTTTCAGTCTTTTTTTGAGTTCTTCCTCTTCATCATCAAGCTCATGAATCCTCTTTTTTTTTAATTGTTCTTCTTTTGCTTTCTCTTCATCAAGCTTACGTTGCTTCTCTTCAATTTGTTTTCTTAATAAAATTTCAGCTTGTCTTCGAGCTTCTGCAATCTCTTCCTCTTGCTTTCGCTTAGCGATTCGTTTTAATAACTCAATTACTAAAATAGTGGCTTCTTCTTTTTGCTGCTTTTTCATACTTTCAGTCAAGTCTGCTATTTTTTTCTCCCTTTCCATTTTTTGTTTAATAACTAATCTCTTTTGTTCCCTTTTCTTTTTACGTTTTTCTTCTCGCATCAGTCTTCTTTGCTCTTTTAACTTTAATGCATCTTGTACTTCTGCAAGTTCTAAAAGTTCTCTTCTTCGTTTTTCTAATATTTCTATTTCATGCTTTCTAGACTGTTCCTCATGTTCTTTTTTTCGTTTCTCTTCCTCCTCAGCATCAGACCTTATTAACCTATCACGACGTCTATCTCTTCTTTTAATATTTTTTTCACTTAAATGTTGAGTTTTATCGAAATCCACCTAAAAATAAGATAGTAACATAACAATTATAAAACAGTTTACTAAAAAGATTAGTAGTTAGACAGTTACATTTTTTTTTTATTATTAAATTTGGAAGAATTTAAAAAACTTTATAAGATATTTATTTGATTATATACTGAAATTAAATAAATAAAAAACAGGAACTTGATTACTAGAACTTAATTTGCATTGTTAATATGTCACAACTTTTGTTCAATATCTCTATGAATATTCCTTATAGTTTTATATAGTAAGGTTAGGTGATTGTTAGGCAAAATTTTAATTAGTTTAGCATTTAAAACCTATTTTAAAAAAAGAATTGTTATAAAAACTTTGATTAGCCAAGTTGTTGAAAAAAGTTTTTAAAGAGTTTTTAATATTTTGAATAAATGTCTCGATTTCTAATAATATGCACATTCAACCTTTTGAATGTGTGCATTATTAGAATATTTGTATTACTATAGAACATTATGACTTAGCTTAAAAAAATATTTTAAGCAAAGTAAATTGACTGTTACGTAGTTTTAAGATGATTTTATAAAGGTCAACTGAAATATCTGCAATATTTTCCAAGAGCTATTAAAATTAAAAAATACTCAAAACTCATTTTTTAATACAAAAAAAAGCAGACATCTTAATATAGCGATAAATTAATAACCCAATTATTTACTGCAGCTTTAATAGCTTAATTTATAATTAATTTTTTACATCATCATCATAAAATATTAATTAAAAACGCTAAAATAAATTATTTAATTAAATATAAGGATAAAACAAATTTCCTTTATAATATCTTTTTTAGAAATTTTGTTTTAAAGTATTTTATAATATGCAGCAATAAGAATCACTTAATAAAGGATAATATGCAGAATTATTGACTCAAAATAAATTTTAGAAGAAATGCTAAACATTTTTTTAAAGTAAACAAAAACAATGAAAAAAACAACAACTCAAGTATCATTTTTAAATGTCATACTAACACATTTTGAAGTCACTAAGTGAATTAACTTTTGGATAAAACTTCTTTTTTTGATGATCAATATAAAGCTTATTTTTAATTACAAATTGTTTATATTAGTTGTAGTATGTTGTCATATTTTGTCAATTAAAATCCCTCAAAAAATGATACAAAAAATGCGCCAAAATATGAAAATTTAGAACCTATCAAATTATAAACAAAATATACAATACTTTTTTGCAACTTTGCATACATAACAATTTACTAGAAAATCTTAACAATTTACTAGAATAAGTTGCTTGCAAAATAACAAACTTAAAATTGAACAAAATATTAAAAATTAAAATACTATATACTTTTTATAATAGCGTCTAAATTACAACTTTTAATATGTTCTCAGAAACAAAAAAGTTGCTCATTATTTTTAAAAAAGTTTGGTCACCTTTTAACTTTTATCATTTAAAATATATAACAAAACTTATAACAAATATAACTTTTTCAAGTTAAATTTGTGATACTGCAATATGTTATTTTGATGTGTTATGGAAATGATAAATTTGTGATATTGTGATATGTTATTAGCAGGTTAAACTTACAATATTGCAATTCTTCGATTGGAATGTATATAGTGACCAAACTTATGAGATGGTATTAGAAATTTTGTCAAACTGGTTGTTTTCATGTGAAATCGAATCCTAGTTTTTATTTTTATTATCTTATTTTAAGAATATAAATTAATGATATATTTTTTAGTATAATTCAGAAAAACTATTGAAAAAACATTTATTTAAAGCTTTAGCTGAACTTAGATGATTTTAGGTACTATTTTTAATAAAATATGCCTGATAGGTTAATTTTAATAACTATGCATAATTTTACGTCTTTCAGACCTAAAATATTAAAATTCAAAATTACTATTTGATGAAAAAAAATTAAAAGAATACCTCTATTGGAGCAGTAGCGCCTTTTTCTTCCTCAATTAAATACAAAAGTTTTTTATTTTTAAAAGCCCGCATAGCTTTTGAAAAGCCAGCATAATCCATGTATTGTATATAACAGTCAAAATAAATACTTGATCCTTTAGAAAATGTCTTAAACACAGGTTGCTGTGGCATTACTGGTGCAACTACTGAAGTGGAGTTCTCTTTATTTCCCTTTTTGGCTTCTTCAAGCATTTGTATCCTATCTCTATAAATATCATTACTAGGTATATCAACTGCACGAACTTCACCAAAAGTTGAAAACACATCTTTTAAAACCAATTCTGAAGGCTTAGTATCATTTTCATTTTCAACAAAACGCTTTGTCGGTAGGTGATTAATATAAATAGTATCTGGACGTTCGCCAGGTTTATTTTCATTTGTTTCATTTGATTCTCTAAAAAACTTGTTCCAATCATTTTTTTTTGGGAATGGAATTTTTTTCCTAGCAGCTCTAACACGAAGTGGCTCAGCAAAATTACCTAGTTTTATAACTTTTCCATCTAATTTAATAAGAAATTTAGTTAAAGTTGTTTTTGAATCTGCTTCAGCATCAAATGTTAAGAGATCTAATGTTGATTTTTCAACTTTAAGATGTGTAAACTGGTCAGGTGCAACCATGGCTTTTAAACGTTCCATGATTTCCCAATTTGAAACGGTCACACCTTAAAATAAAAGATTTTAGTTAAATTTCTTAATTCTTTTTTTATTGCTCATATTTTAATACAAAAGACCTAAGTTTCTGTACCAAATAAAAAAAAAGTTGTCACCAAAAATTTATATATTAAATAAAATGAAGACTATCAAACTTTTTTTTTTCCTTTTTTTTTATTTTTATTTAATAATAATTTTTTTTAAATTTATTTAATTTTAATTAATAACTTCATATAAAATAAAATAAAAAACTATTAATATATATATATATATATATATATATATATATATATATATATATATATATATATATATATATATATATATATATATATATATCATATATATAACACAAGATGGAACCAGAAGAAATTGATTCCTTAACCAAAAACTTAGTATACAGAAACATAAAAATTAAAGGGTATGGTACCTTTTAATTTTTATGATTAAAGCTTAACTTGGAGAATAACAGTTTGGAGAATAATAGAGAAATGAAAAAAACTATAATTAATTTCATTTTGAACCACTGAAATTGTTTTAATTACTTCTTTTTAATTAAAAACATTACCTTATACTTATATACATTTGAATAACTATGCAATATTACCCACATAAACATTTATAATTGTAATATTTTAGACCTCAACATAAAATAGAAGACTTTCAAATATCACTCAATATTTTTGATAATGTTCAATATTCAATATTTTTGTATAATTAATCAGTCTATGATTTTCAATTTTAGTTATAATCAATAGACTATAAACTTGCTCATAAAAAAAGGCTATATTGAAAAGTTGAGATGTATTTTTATTCAACTTGTACCTATAACTAAGTGTTGAAAATTTCTTTAAAGTCAACCTTACAAAATTTAATTTTGCTTTGAAATGCCAGCAAATACATATATAGTTGTATCAAGAAATCAAGTTTCAATTATTGATAAACTTGACTTGAAATCTGCATTTTAGGATTTTACATTACTAAAAAATTAAAAGGTTTTTTAAAAAGTTTTAGTGATGACTATGTGATTTGTGGCTAAAATAGTTTTTAATTAGTATTATTTTATTTATACTTTACAGGGGTTTATAGTGTCAAAATCAGTTTATTATTATCCAATATAAGTTTATGTAAAAGTTTGTAATAGAAGAGATTTTATTTATCAAAGAAAAATGCTTTATTTGTTAAAGAAAATTTGTTAAAGCTATATTAAACATTGTGTAGATTAACATTGTTGTAATTGGAGTGTTTAACACTGTTTAACATTGTGTAGTTGGAGTGAGAAAATTAAAAAGTAACCAAGATAATTAGATAAAGAATCTGAAAATGTAGAATGCAGATAATAGAAAGACCAGTAATCCTGCAGTTAAGCAACCTAAATTAATTTTTTTCTTTTTTTTTTTTGAAAAATAGTGGAGAGTGTAAATATCATTTTAATAAAGAAAATAATAATAAATAACAATTACTTATATATTTATAATAATTTATATATTTATAATAAATTATGAATTAAAAAAATTATTTACAATAATAATATTTATAATAAATGTTTTAAATTGCTGTAAAATTCTTGACAAAAACTCTAAAACAAATTTAATTACTATGTAAAAAAAATTTTTTTGTGAAATAAAAATATGTCGTAAGTATAAAAAAGTATACGCATTATTTTGCTAAATTTGATTTTGATGGTGTAAGATGAAAAAACAAAGCTTTAGAACAGATTATACGTGTTTCAAAGCATTGTTTTGTCTGACATACATATGCTATATACTTATATATAAAGTATGTTTTGCAAAACAGCAACAAATATATTGCTGTTTTGCAAAGACATACATATACTATATATTTATATATAAAGTATGAACTCTAGATGTATTCGCTTTAAAAATAACTATATATAATGTAATTTTTTCAAACTCAATATAAAAGTTAAAGACCTTTCTATAATTTTCAAGTTATTTGATGATTGATAATCAGGCTAATTTTTACAATTTTGAACATAATAAATAATTAGAACTGACTCTAAACTCTTTCCTTCACATGAAAAGTCGAAAATTTACGAAAAATTTTAAAGTAAACGATTATTATAAATACTTTTAAAGTACTAACGATTACAGATTGCTATAATGGAACCAACATATTAATGTTGGTTTATATAACAAATTTACCTGGAATTTTTAGTGTAGGCATAGTAACAACTATAACAAGCCTTGAAATAGGTTTTAAATACAAGTTTCTTAAAGAGTGTAACTCTGTACATTCTGATAAATCAGCTGCAGAAACAACAGTTACAGCACCACTAGTAATGGAAACCATTGTTATAGAATACGGACGTGTTGGGAAATAGCATAACAATAAACTTAATCATAATGGATTTGTCAATTTTTGTGAATTTATTTTTGCATTTGAGCAGGATATTAGTAGGACAAACCTGAAAATTAAAATCTAGTGTCAAAATAAACAAGATTTGCCATTAAGCTGAAAAAAAAAAATCTTTAAAAAGTTTTTTTTTTTTTTTCAGTTTTTATTGCTGTAAAAAAGTGCAGATTGCCTTCATGAAAAAATATATATACCATATTCCTGAAAAAAAACCCGACTATAAATGGAAAATCACCTTTTTATTTGGGGAGGGGGATAGGTGTCACACCATCACACACCCATAAAACTGTCTGGGTACCTTAATACCTATGTTTTTCAATAAAATAAAAAAAGATAAATTTATTGCATTTTTTGCACTTCAAAAATGAATATAAAATTTATTACATAAGGTAATATATAAATATTATATCTGATCCACAACTTATGTGTTTATGAAAACAGTACTTTTTAATTTTTTTATATATTATTACGAAACTTACGTTCTCGCTAGTTATTACTTATTTTTACTACGACATTGTTTTTGTTTTTTGATTTTATACTTCATGTAAATTTAATGTACTTAATATTCACAAGCGGTTCTCGATGATAAGACCTGAAGATCTTCTGCGAGTCTCCGCGTTCTTTTTTTGTATATTTTTTCTTTTATTGTATAACGATTTTTATCTTAACTATCTTATTGTATAAACTATATTGAATATTCAAGGAAAGAACAAAAAAAAAAAATAATAATAAAAAAAATCAAAATAACAGGTATTTAAAGATCAAATTATTTCATACAGATGTAGTGTTAGGAGGATGAGATATCACACACCCCAATTAAGGCTTTTCAAAAATATGGTTAACAACCCAACATTCGACGTATTTCAGTTGGCTATTTTTTAGTTTTAAAGAACTTTTTTTATTTAGAAGGTAGTCAATACTTTTCAAATATATATATATATATATATATATATATATATATATATATATATATATATATATATATATATATATATATATATATATATATCACAGAGCACCGTGGATGAGCATTTAATTGGAAGTTCACGCCTCCTTCCTAACCGATGTTGCTAAACTTGCACAGAAGTGGGGTTTGAACAACGGATCCTTTGATTCTGAGTCAAGCGCGCTACCACTGCGCCACGGCTGCTATTAAATACAGCTATTAGATATATTATATATAGACAGGGGCGTGTTTAGCATATTTTGTTCTTTGAGATTACTGATTTTGTTCTTTGAGATTACACGAAACAAACTCTAAACAATTATATACTTATGTCAAATAATGATGTTTTGCAAAAAGTTACGCTGGTTGGAGCCGAGATTAAAAAGCCTGAAAATATTTGCCCCCTCTGCCCCAAAGAGAGAGCAATAAGTTAATAAAACATTTATTGTACTATTGTCAAATAGATTTATATTCATCAATAAATTTTAAAGGAGTATGTCCTACTTTGATGTTTTTTGGCCCATGTCTACGATCGTGTTTAGATTTTTACACCAACGTATTGTTAGTGTCTTAGGATTATCTATTAAAAAATCCCGATCAGCTTGGCTTCATAGTTATCTTGTAACTTTTAAAATAAAAGTATAAGCAAAGTTAAATATATATGAGCTTAATAATAAAAATAGTTTTATGATTACACTTATTTTAGTAGTTTAGTATTTAAGAGATTCATTATTTATTATATATTGAATCGCTTAAATCATCTACCAAATAAAATTTACTGTTTAATAAAAATATTGATCTATAGTGGTTTGTATATATTGAATATTGTGCAACATTTAAAATTGAAAGAACAAATAAATTGCCTATACATAGTAGCGTTTAAATGTTTTGACGGATTTAAGTGGAAATCTATTTATAATTTTGAACTTGTTGATTTTTTTGATATTTTTATTAACAAAAATAATATATTTTCCATTTTTATTTAAATGTTTTGCTAAATAACTGTAACTTTGTTTAATCTAATAACTATCAAATGCGATGTATTTTTGCAGGTTTATAAAAAACATTGAGAAATTATTTATATCTCATGCATCAATTGATTCAAATTGCTTTTTTACTTTTTCTTTTTGAATTCAATGTATGATTTCAATTCATTTTTTGAATTAATTTCATCTTTCATTAGAATTGCAATATCTTTACAGTCTTTTTTTATCGGATACATATTTTAAATGAAAATAGTAATTCAAAGTCGCAGCTATTATTACATCAGTCATTAAATGAGGATGCGCTGTATTACTTACAAATAATTAAAAGGTTGTTTAAATGTACCATTAACAGCCTCAACAACCAATCTGCATTTTGTTACAAACCTAGTATGGATAGCTTGTAAACGTTTAGAACAAATTTGTATCTTGGTCAATACTTTATAAGCAGTTTTCAATTCATCAATAATATCTCTGAAACTTTTTTCTAAATCGTTAAATGATAGACTGAACTAGTTCTCTTAAATTGCATTTTGCTTTTAAAACATCATTTAATATAGTGCGTAATTAATAGTTGGAGCAAATGATCCATAAATATCAATAATAAACCCGTTTCCAATGCATACTACAAAAGGCTTAACTAAATATCTTTTTTTTTTTCCCACTGTACAGGCTTCGTTGTGAAGAATTGTTTGAACTTTTTTCACAGAGTAAGTAAGTACCATCAGCAATAACTGCTAGCTGTTCGTCTATTAAGTCAAACCAATCTTTGATCATATCAGTGTTATTTAATAATCTTTTCGTGATTGTGATTTTGCTCCTAAATATTTGCCAACAAATTCAGCATTAAGCGAGGCTCTTATCTGATGGCAATATTTCTTAACTTTCAACCGACATGACAAACCAAACCAAAAATCAATTGATTTTTGACCAGTCTTTAACCAAACGAGATAAACTGCAAGAGCTTTTTCTTTTAAACATTTTAAAGATTTTTTTATTGTTTTTAATTCACTTACCTAATAAGAAATTCATCTTTGGTAAAACCTGTATGTTGGATTTAAAACTCATTTGTTACGTTATTTATATCACTAAATTTTGCGAATATAAATGCTGCTTTTAAATCCTAACCAAAAACCTTTAAATAAATTTTGTACCATTGTTTTATTTAAGCTAGCAGAGGATTTTAAAATTTATATATATAAATATTCATCTTTAACCTACTTACTATCTGTCAAATGAAAATGATAACAAAGAGTATCAATTGGTATAAATACGTTTGTTTTAATAAAATCATCGATTACCTAGTCATCTGGAATTGGAGGCTTAGCTGACATTCAAATGGACATGCACAAACTTTTTTACGGAAAATAAGTCCCATGCATTCAAGGATGAAGTTAAAATCGTAACTAAGCATAGGATAGGGTGGGGTAATCTGAGCCTATTTCTACCTATTTCTGACTTTGAGCAAAAAATATATTTAGCAAAACAATTTTTTTTCAATTTATGTTAAAATAATGATTAGGCATCATTTTTAGTAAACTACATTAAAAAAAGTTTATACATAATTTTTAAAGATGTCTCAAAAGCAATAACTTGAGTTGTTTTCTATAGACCCACATTACCTCGTTTATTGGAGCGGGTCTAACCCAGCTAGCCCTCTTTTGTTGGGCCAACGTATGTAAATACATCGTGAACGTTGGCAGTTTTTTTCAAATAGAACGTTGATCCACTGTGTAGATATCAACGTTGATCAAATGTTATTTTTATTATACTTATATTAATGAAAATCTTATTAAACCTTAAATAACAACGTGATTAAAAATAGTTAGAAAAATTACATTGGTCCAATGTATATAAAAACATCGCAAAAGTTGGTTGTTTTTCTCCGTTCAAAACCCAAGATTGATCCACTGTATAGGGGTCAACGTTACTCCAATATATATGGATCAACGTTGACCAAATGTGTATAACCCCACATTGATTAAATTTATATAGGTGAACGTTGATCCAATGTTTTTAACCCAACGTTAATCCAATCCATATGTATAGATTAACGTTGGATTATATACATTGGATCAACGTTGCTCCATATACATTAGAATAACGTTGGATTATATACAGTGGATCCACGTTGTGTTTGCATCGAGAAATTTAGAAACCCAGACTGAACATTTTTTCTATGTCTGCTAGCTAGATCATCTAAAGAAATCCATGGCAACATGACTTCAGAAAAATGAATCCAGAAACATAGTCAGACTTTGAATTTATACTAATGATTATTTTAAAGGTTATTTATTTTTTATAAGCATTAGATTCTTAACGGCATAAAATACATTGACATACAGACCCGCATTACCTTACTGAAAAATGTTGCTTATTTCAAAAAAACTATGCACCATGCCTCCCCCGAGCATTTTTACTTCGTTGTTCACCTTCTCGAAAGTCTTAACTGTTTTTATTATCACATCTCTCAGGTCTACGAAACTGGACGGCTCCGTTGGTCACTTTTTGCGATCATTGTGTCGCATAAGCAAAAAAACTATGCATCATTTCGTAATAAAACTAAATGAACTTATTTTCTGGTAATTTTTCTTCTGGATAAAACATTTCCATTTATTAAACCTCGTTTTTAATATCCTTTTTTTGAAGTTTAAGGTTTTCGTTAAAAAAAATTTTTTTAAATATATGCGCCAATTTGAATAAAAATTATAATTAAGAACTTGGCTAGTAAGCTGATAGTTAAAGTTTAAAGAGCTGTTTTAACCACCAATAACATACAGAATAAAAAATCTAAAACCTTTCTTCTATAAAACTGATAAATGTTGATTAGATCCACATTACCCTTTCGATCCACATTATTCCACCCTACCCTTACATTATTCCACCCTACCCTTACATTATTCCACCCTACCCTTACATTATTCCACCCTACCCTTACATTATTCCACCCTACCCATACATTATTCCACCTTACCATTACATTATTCCCCCCTAACCTTACATTATTCCACCCTACCCTTACATTATTCCACCCTACCCTTACATT